GTACATGCAAAACGTTCAATCCGGACTTCAAGATGAGATCAACTTCTGCAGAACTCGTGCTGACTCTCTCAGAGGAGAATACACCAAGGTTTGATACATGGTACAATCTAACTTATATTCATCAAAATTATAGATTGAGGCAATTGCCAAGCCACAACGTGAGAAGCGTCAAGCTTATCAATGCTGCTCTTGCGGAATGGGACCAGCTGGACCATTAGGAAACCCAGGACAAGACGGTGCCCCAGGAATGGATGGACGTCCAGGAGCTCCAGGACAGCCAGGACCTGACGCACAAGCTGATCGCGGACAACCAAAACCAGAAGATTTCTGCTTCGAATGCCCAGTTGGACCAGCTGGACCACCAGGAGAACCAGGACCAAAAGGACAACCTGGAAACCCAGGAGCTGGAGGAGAACAAGGACCACCAGGAAGAGGAGGTGCTCCAGGAGCCCCAGGACCACAAGGACCACCAGGAGAACCAGGAAACGACGGAATCCCAGGACGTCCAGGAGCTCCAGGACAAGTTCGCACCGTTCCAGCTCCACCAGGTCCACCAGGACAACCAGGAGATCAAGGACCACAGGGACCACCAGGAGAAGACGGAAGACCAGGAAACCCAGGACAAGCCGGTCCACCAGGATCCCCAGGAGACTGCGGTCAAGACGGAACTCCAGGAAACCCAGGAGCCCCAGGAGAAGGCGGAGAGCCAGGACACGACGGACCAAAGGGTAAGTTGACGAACCCAAGTAGTTCTGGTTAATCTCTAGTATTTTTTCCCAATTTTCGAATATGTCATGATTTTGTTTCGACCAAAACTTGACCTGCACTTTGGTCACTACAAAAGAGAGTCAGAATTGAACTGAAAAAAGAGAGACAGGATGAGATGAGAAACAGATACAAATTGTGTTGTAAGACATGTATGTCTCCATATCGGTCAGAAACCTATCTGATGAAAAGGCTTAACGTTGTGTAGCCCTATCAAGTTCATTAAAAACTGAGATGAACATGGATGGATTGTATGGAATGTTTGAAAGATTAGATGAACCGATATAATTCATTGAAAGTAGACAGCCATATTGGAACAATCTAATCAAATTATCATAGCATCTGTTAACGTGCGATGCTGAAAACTGTTTAAAATCCCAACAAGGCTTACACAATGTTATCTATTTCATCTTTCTTGTTTTCAGGAGGTTGCGATCACTGCCCAGTGCCAAGAACTGCTCCAGGATATTAATTTATATCATAACTATTCCTTCGTTGCCGAGCAACTCTCTCAAATCTAAAATTCTACCTTTCATTCTTTCGGTAATAACGGGACCTCACGCAATATTCAAAATCACTTCGAGACTTTCGCGAGTATGTCATTAGCAGGTAGATGTCTCACATCAAATGATGAAACAACGTCCTAATTATTATTTTGTCTGTATTTATTGATTGATCGAAATTGATCCGATTGAATAAAAACATTTTCATAAAATCTTCTTTAACCATTGGAACTCTACATCGAAGAAGAGTTGGATGATGATCTTCTGTTCCGGAATTCCCTTTCTCTCTCCCTCTATCTTAATAGTTATCACCAATTTCCCTTCCGCACTATATACCATTCCTCTTACTCACATTACAACGAAGCTTCAGCGTCATCGTCATTCTTCTTATTTGAGTCATCATCAGTCACATCTTGCATCAAACAAGTTGATGTGGAAGCCGAATAAGACTCTTTCTTTTTAAGTTTTCACTCTCTATCAGTGGTCAAATACGTTTGTCCATCTGATTAGCTATGTCTTTCTTCAAGAAGAGAACATTTCTTATGAGAAAAAAGAATACGAAGACTTCCAAATTCAGTTTGTTTACAATCAGTGCCACTCCGAACAGGTCTATGAGATTATCAGTAATGCCAAGATTTGAACTCTCTAAACGGATTCATCTACTTTCACTATTCATTTACTTGTATCACGGAGATTAGAAAATTAGAGAAACCCAGGTAACCAGAACGTTATCTAGCGAATCTTCATCCCAGTTTCAAAGAAGACAGTTCGTTACCCATTGAACTAGAGGGGTTGATTCAAAACATTACATAAAAACAATTTCCGGCATGAAGTTCTACTTTGTTCACAGAAACACAGTTCAACATTAGGGTGATTGAATCAATAATTGAAATTGCAGAATGAAAAAAACATTTCAAAAGCTAGGCTCAGACACATCATTATTGTCCTCACGGTGTTCAGAACAGGTCTGTAGAAATCGTCACAGCCGGGATGCGAACCACCATCCTTCAGGTGGTATCTGTCAATTTACCATTCAACTATCATTCGCTCGAACTTCCCCAGCGTAAGCAAAACCAATGTATGAGTTGCAGTGGGCATGATAGAAAGAGAATTCAAATCAGAAATATACCCTAAATGGGTCCACAAACAGTGTATCAGTTTGCATTATTAACGAAAAAAGTACGAAATATTTGTAAGTGATAAAGTATGGTTTCAGCAGAACTTTGTTGAAACTATATGAGATATAGCATATTGGGTAGAGAGAGAGAAGCAGAATTAATTGTTCAAATGCCGAAGGTGACGTGTATTTGACAAAAAATGAACTGTTAGGAACTGATTTCTAATAAAACATTTCATGAAATGTTACACTTTACTGCCTCAACTTCATTCATTCAACGGCAAGTTCGAACTGATTTGGACAGACAAACGATTCGGTGAACTATTCCGTTGATGAAAAAACAGTCACAGTTTGACGGCTTTATAAGGCACAGAGTGCAGAACAAGAAACTTTATGATACTTCATCTTCTTAATGAAGCATTGTTTACTAGTTACTTCCAAACCTTTTAATCAATTTTTTTCTCAAAATGTTTATAAAATTGCATAATTGAGGTTAAACTTCCACACGCTTGGGAAATCTACTGGGAATAAGTGACAGAATGGACACTGATCTCAAGAAGCAGGTTGAAGTCCTGGCTATGAAGAAGCTAGCATTCTTCGGTAACTTAACAAAAACAAATATATCAATCGAATATGCTTTGAGGAGTCACTGTCTCAACAATAGTATCGCTTGTCGCTATTGTCGCTCTACCTCTAATGTGTATGCGAATTCATCAAGTAGATCTCACTCAACGTCGTGAAGTCGAGTTTTGTCGCTCAAGGAACTATGATTTACGTGATGAAATTCGGAAGGTTTGAAATTAAACAGATAATCAAATAACTCTTTCTTTCTGATACTTTACTGCCACTAATGCTTTTTTATAATAACTAGCTGAGAGATCATTATTCAACTTTCCCTTACAGTTAATATCTGCACGACATCAGGAAATAGAAAGTCGAGAGAAGCGCTCCACACCTGAATTGTGTTGCTCCTGTGGTATTGGAGCCCCGGGACGAGTTGGAGCACCCGGAGAGGATGGAGATTCAGGATCAGATGGTAAAAATGGAAACCCTGGCTCTCCAGGACCTGACGCAATCAATGACAAGGCTATTCCAACCAGTGCCGATTTCTGCTTTGACTGCCCTGCGGGACCACCAGGACCACCAGGACTCCCAGGACCGTTTGGAGAAACCGGGGAACAAGGAGAGCGTGGCCCAGTACAACGCTCTGTCGACAACAGTATTCTAATTGTTTCACTTATAGCGAGGACTAGAAGGACCTCCAGGCCCATCAGGGCCAACAGGATCTGAAGGAGAAGCAGGCCCAACAGGAGAAGATGGACCCATGGGTGAAGCAGGCAGGGCAGGGAAGGTAAGTGAAACTAAAAAGGCGTATCCTAGATGATTAGGGCGTAGTCTTCATAAAGAAGATCTATTTTGATTGAAAGGGAAAAGCGGTGTTGTCTTGAACCAACAAATCTGAACACTGATGAATTCAACTTTTGATATCAATGCAAAGGAGATCATCCCAAAAAATAGCTAAAATAGACAATAACCTGTATCAATTTTCAATTAATTTGCCGCGCGAATAGATGATTTCGATCTTAGCCAGTCTTCCAATTGAGATCCAAATGTACTTTCTCAATACGTAAATTATACCAATGAAGATAAATTTCGTAGGAACAAGTCATTTAATATGCTTTTAAGATTCATTATGAACTTTCACCTGATGGACCACCTGGACCACCAGGAGATCAAGGCTCCGAAGGATTCCCTGGGTTTGAGGGACTTCCTGGCTTCCAAGGGAAATGCGGACGCAAAGGACCAAGAGGTGAAAATGGAATCGATGGAACTAATGGAAACGATGGAGAACGTGGAGCTCCAGGACCAAAAGGTAGAGACGGAGCTGTTGGAAGTTGCGATCATTGTCCCCCTCCTCGTCTCCCACCTGGGTACAACTGATACTATTAACCCACTGTCATCTCTATACGTGTCATATTGGTTGATGAATAAATTATATGAATAGTTAAAGCTTATCATATCATGTATCAAGTACGCAGTACTGAAACCCAAAAGTATTTTTGCAGAATTGTGAAACATAGTTTCAATAAGGTTGGAATACTTGCCAAGAAAAAATTGAAAAACATACTTATCTTCAAATTTGGAAATTCATCCGTAGAGGTGTGGAAGCTTTGAATTCAGATCCTTCGTCTTCTTCCAATGTCCTCGAACGATAGTAAGAACCGGATTATTAACACCGTTCACCCGCGGGCAGCGTTGCCTTCCTCCGAACATCTACACAAGTTGATCATGAGAAGATGAGAGCACATTCTATAAAATAGATCATCAAAAATCATGTGAGACAGAAAAGAAAGATTGAAAGTAAGATTTTAGAGAAAGTTTTTACGCGCTTTACCGATTTTTTCGTAAATTAACTCTATGCTAGCCAATTTTCGTTAATAGAATTGACGTTTAAGAATGAGGTAGAGAGTAGATGAGTTTGAAATTTATAAAAGTAAATTATGAATAAGAAAGGAAAAAAAAGTCGCGGCAATGGCACTTAAATGATCGTACTGTCATCTCGTTGTCTGAGCACGACTTAGCTGGTTTTCGTTTGCACGCACAAAAACACATAAAAAAACATTTTTTATTCTTTTCGAAAACCAATTGTTGCAAGAAAAAAAAAAGAATGAAAAAGTGACAAGGATCGTATGAAAAAAACTATATTTCAGACATAATGTCCGATGAAAAAAAACTTGTTTGGAGCATGGTCAGTTCATCTGACGGATGGATGGGGAACGAGTGTTGTCGTTCCGATAGACGAGAACGATAACTAGAAAGGTTTTTGATAGAAGGAGCAAGACAGTCTTCTTTTTCATAGTTTTCAAAGTTTTTTTTGATCTTGAATGAACTTTCAATCATAAACAGCTCATAAAAACTGATACAACGGGAAGAAACTGAAAAAAAACATAAAAAGTCACTCATCCGAATAACTCCTAAAACAATATAGGGAGGATTTATTGTTATATATTGTTCATAAGATATAGAGACCTCCTTTGAGGCTTCGAGTCTGTTTTAAACAATCCATTGCATAGACACAGCAAGTAGAGAACGATGTTGGTTTGGAATTCACGATTGACTGTCATCATGTGATTTTGTTCAGCTTAATCAAATGAGTTGTCTGATTTAATTGGCTGCTTGCGACGAATACCTTCAAAAAGCCACCTGGGTTCATCGTATTGTATACGAATTGCTAGTGTGAACAATTTTTCCTTCTCAGTTCAAGTCAGTTTGCGATGATAGTTTACAGCTCGAAAGATGGATTGAAATTTGGCCTGACATCAACAGCTGGAGCCGTAGATGTCGTTCCATTCATGTTTAGTATTCCATCTTCCATGGTGGTAGGCTGAAAATCGAGAGTTTAGCTAAAGAAACTGCCTGAAACTGGACAAAAACGATGATGCCCGGAGTGGGGGTACGCGCAACAAGAGAAAGGCGACAGATGACAGAAGCCCATATGGAAAAAGATATGAGAAAAAGACAAAAAAAAAAGACAATGAAAAAAAAAGAAATCCATCTCTTGTTTAAGCGCAGATAATGAATGAAAAACGCATCCTTATCTGTTCAGAAAAACGGGGCAGTGATCGAACAACTAACAGTAGGCACACCACCGCACCAGAATAGAAACAAGAGAAAGTTAATCATTAAAAACTGAAGAATAGATGAAATGTTTTTTGAATCTGACTACTTCAAGCTCTTCAGTATGTTCTTTTGCAATTCGCTCGATTTTCTTTCAACTACGTAGAGTTACATGCTCAAAGAAGCTGACGATTGTATACATACAGCTCCTGGATGGGAATGAAGATAAATACATTTCTTCAGTGAAGAGCGATTCCCAGAGCCGTCTCCTAGTCTTGAAGCTGATTACCGAGACAAATCTGAGAATGGAAATCCTTTTACTGAAGAAGAACATACAAAAATGGATAGGAATGAATTACTCAATCACAAGTTGAAAACTGAAGGAAGATATTCGGGAGTATTTTTTCCAGAAGACCGTGACCCTTTTTATTCTCCAACAGCTCGAAATATGTGATTTGTTTTCATTTGAGCATTACTGTCAAAAGAAGTGAATCCCATTTTATAAAGATCGAAACTTTCCGTGTTGGTTTCTTCATACTGACATAAGAACATTTTTTCTTAATCTAGATGTCACTAGTAGCAAGAGATAAACGATCGCCTGGGGGTAGAAAAGAGGATGTCCTAGGGGCGGATCTCGAAAGTGGGCGTTGACGGGTGGGGGGTGTTGGAGTGATCAGGTAGACATAAAAAATAAAACGTCACACCTTTGAAATGGTATATAAGGGAGGCTCTAGGTGATCTAAATCAGTGTGCTTCTTCCTTCGCTTCTTCTTCTTCTTTTAACAACAATCGAAGCAAAATTGAAGCTACCAAGCTTCATTTTCATCAAGCTTAATGAGTTTCCACATTAAACCGAGTTTTCTTGTTAAAGATATTGACTTGATCACAATTATAGTAACAAACTTTTGACATTACCTCGTTTCCTTAATGTATTTTCCACATCTTTTCTCATTTTCAATAACCATGCTTCAGATGGAAGATAAGCATAAGCTCATCGAGGCTGAATCCGTAAAGAAGTTCGCCTTCTTCGGAGTAGCTGTCTCCACCGTTGCTACCTTAACAGCCATTGTAGCCGTCCCAATGCTCTGCATGTACATGCAAAACGTTCAATCCGGAC